ACTACTTGGCTACTTTTAGGCAAAATGTAGTTCGCTATAACTACAGCTACAGTTTTAAAAAAGTAGTCAAAAACTACTGGCTACTTGAAAATTGTAGTTCGCTACAGTAGCGAACTACAACTACTTCGCTACTACCCACCCTTGTATATACCAATTAAAGCTACGGATCTCCGTAATGTAAAACAACGAATCATGAACTAAGAGCAACTATGGCGTGAAGCTGAGAAGCTCGATCTGTCTTCAACTCCGTCTAAAATTCTCTGTTTTATAGCCACATCCAAATCAGGGCCGTTGGAAGCGAGGGCCATGGAGGGCGCCCCCTCCCCCCTCCGGAATAATTTCCTCATTCAGGATTCGTTTACATAGCAAACTTGATTATTTAAATTTTTATGGGAGAGACAGTTACGATAAAGTGCTTTTGGTCGGGCAATTTTGAGACCCCCCCCCCAATAACAATTTGCTTCCGACGGCACTGCAAATTCGAAAATATTACTCGTTATAAAATGTTTACATGTTTCGAGTCCACGTTTTACAATACACCCTTTCAGAAAGTACGTCACTTTGGCTATACAGCCTCGTTTCCGTCCATGTGACATTAGTTAGAGTCCACGTCTCAATCACGAAAACGAGGCTCTATAGCCAAGGTGACGTACTTTCAAAGGGTGTATTACAAAATGCGTACTCAGTCCATGTTTTCCATGTACATTTCCAATCTGGTCCATGTTTTACAACCTGCCGCTGCATAACGAAACATGCACTATTAAGGACTATGAAACCACAAATTCATTAAAATATTTCCATATGACAACCATCTACAGTGTTTCTTTGTAATTAAAGCGTGTCCACTTAGTTAGTCGTCTCGATTTATACCAGACGAATATACGTGTTATGGTACGTCACAATACGGTTCCAGTGGCAAATGACCTTTAAGCCTGGTTTCCATATGGTCGTATAGTGGTCGTAAAGATAGAGTCACGATCTTTCTCAACGCCGGGCCATGCCAGTTTATAATAGTTTATACCTGTAATGATGTTTTACAAATCATGCACGAACTCAGTTCATGTTTCTACAAATCATGGAGTCAGTTCATGTTTTTTTAATTAGGGACTCAGTCCATGTTTTACAAATCATGCACAGACTCAGTTGTTCATGTCATAGTTTACAAATCACTGACTCTAGCTGTTTGTGTTTTACAAATTACGGACTCAGTTCATATTTTTTAAAATCACGGACTCAGTCCATGTTTTACAAATCATGCATGGACTCAGTTGTTCATGTTTTACAAATCACTGACTCTAGCTGTTCGTGTTTTACAAATTACGGACTCAGTTCATATTTTTTTAAATCACGGACTCAGTCCATGTTTTACCAATCATGCCTGGACTCAGTTCATGTTTTACAAATCACGGACTCAGCTGTTCGTGTTTTACAAATTACGGACTCTGAGTCCGTGCATGATTTGTAAAACAATGGACTGAGTCCACTTCACTCAATTCATGTTTTACAAATCACGGACTCAGATCATGTTTTTTAAATCACGGACTCAGTTCATGTTTTACAAATCATGCATGGACTCAGTCCATGTTTTAAAAATCACGGATTCAGTTCATGACAAATCACGTCCTCAGTAGTCCATTTTTTTACAAATCATGGACTCAGTCCATGTTTAACAGATCATGCACCGACTCGGTTCATGTTTTACAAATCACGAACTCAGTTCATGTTTTACAAATAATGGACTCAATAAATGGGAGCGTAGTTTTCAGTTAAGAGCAAACACGACAGGCAAAACATGATCCAATGTAACAGCAGTAGTGTGAGAAGATGTTTAAAGTTAGGAGGGTTGAAAATTAGGGAGGAAGGGGTCATGCTCCCCCGAAAAATATTGAAGCTCGAAAATGCCATTGCCTGCACTTTCCAAATCGTGTTGAAGAATTTGGACGGCAACACTGCCACAAAAAATTGCTTCATAACTCAGGTTTTGGTACTAGTCTTGGACCTGTATATGAGTTTGTATGCGTTTCATTTAGGAAAGGTAATCTCAACTGTTTTAGGGTAACATGACAATGGCGGTCAACATGGCATATGTGCCAAATCCTGAATCCGGGGCGAAAGTCCTGAAAATGACCCGCCCTGAAACGGCAGTGTCGATATAGCTCTAACTTCCGAAAAGGAAGAGCGATGGCCTTTCTGAAGTGCTTATAGTGTTTAGAAGGGTTGCTTTTAAAGGTGGTCATTGGAAGGAAAAATTTGTCTAAGTAAGATATTTTACAAGAAGATGACCATGCACCACCCCAGGTAAATTGCTAATTATGCATAAAATAACAAATATGCCTGGCAGAAATTAAATTTTCTTATTTCCTAAATAAAATTATCATGGGATGAAAAACTATGCTTAATTGTTTTCTTTAAATCTGAATAATTCTATTTCACTTACCCCCCACGAAAACACGATTTCAGCCATATTTTGCCATCTTGTTTGTTTTTTTATCGCCGAGCCTCGCAAATATCATCCAGTTGTTGTACTTTTGCATAATCATAAATGGCTAAAGAAGATTTCAACCAAGTTTCATGAATTTTTGAAACAATGCAGTGTATTTTATCTTCGATATTGTATCCTTCGATATTTTGTGAAATATGGCGCCATTGCATGGCTCGCTGCTCCTCTGCCAGATAAATGCTATTTCTTCGTCTTCCTGTGTATTTAGATTTCAGTATCCACGAGTACTTCATTGTAGAACAGTACCAATCCAAAAATTAGTTGCACTTGAAAGGAAAATACCTCCCATAACCCTTGTCCTGTCCAGTAATTTAAAGTCACGCGCAAGTTCGCGAAAACTCCTCGTGGGCTACATGACAGGGGGGTGAATATTTTCACGAATCGTTTAATGGCCACAGCAACCTAACTAAATAGATTATATATATTGTATTTTTATGATTTATGATGAAAATACGCAAATATTTATTGTTTTTATCATCAATCATAAAAATACAATATATATAATCTATTTAGTTAGGTTGCTGTGGTGGCGAACAAACGTGAAAATACCCCCCCCCCCTGTGATGTAGCCCACGAGGAGTTTTCGCAAACTTGCGCGTGACGCCGTGACTTTTAAATTACTGCTTTTGGATTTTGACAGGACAAGTGTTATGGGAGGTTTTTCCTTTCAAGTGCAAGTAATGTTTTCAATTTTTGGATTGGGACTATTCTACAATGAAGTACTCTTGCATAGGCGTACCGGACGGGGGGGCGGCCCCCCCCCCAGATTTTTGGGCAGTCGGGCAATATTCGATGAACAGTCGGGCAATTTTGGTTTGTTAAAAAGGGGGGGGGAGGTCCCCAAAATAATTTTTCCGGAAAAAATTTCGGTACTAGTCGGGCACATTCCTGAAAAGTCGGGCAATTTTCTTTCCGCCCCCCCCCCCCCTAATTTTTTCCTTCCGGTACGCCCATGTACTCTTGCATACTGTAATCTAAAGGTTATGGCTAAAGCCCGTTCTCCACTAGGCGAATTTATTCGCGCGAACAGATAAAAAGTAGGAAGCGATCCTACTTTTTCGCCGCGAATTTTTTCGCCGACCAATCACGTTGCCGGATTTCGGTTTTCGCTTCGCGTCGCGCGAACAAATTCGCGTAGTGGAGAACGGGCTTTAAGGCAGGCGGTGTGCGCACTGCGACCGCAATGCATTATTTTGGATATTTTCTTAAAGATGGCGGATTTCTAGCACGATTAAAGGTATGTTGGCGCTCTATTTTCCGCCACGTTTTAAAGTTTAAACTTTTTGTTTTTTATTAAAAAGGAAGTTACATGTAATATTGTTATGCCGTGTTACTTTTCAAATCGATAATTTTTGGAATTCGATAAAAAATATCATTTGATTGTAAACTCGTGTATTTTTCCCAAATACACTGGTCCATTTACTTTTACATGTCACAGCTTAACCGTTCACACATCACATTTAAAATTGCAATTGGCATAATCTATGACCATTATTTGTGACCG